AAGATTTTAAGTGGTTCCTAAATATAGTGCACTAAAGCTGCCTGTGGTTCTCAAAGACTATGCAGTTTACACCAAAAGTTAATTACCAATGTCAAATGTCGTAACATCGTGATGCTAATAAGACGCGAAAATTCACTTATCAAAATTAAATGATAAGAATTTAATGATTTTATCAGATTAAATGATATAAAATCAATAATATCTACAACGATTTTCCTTATCCGCTTGATCAATCTTATGTCTTTGAAAAGATTTTAGAGATTGATCACAATCACATTTCTCTTAACGGTTAGGCTTTCTTTAAAAAAAAAAAACAAGCAGCTGATGCGTTTAAACGTTGGATATATTGCTATTTTAAACGCTTCTGTTCAAAACGTTTTATTCATAGTTTCAAGTCTGTTTAGATTGTGGTTCCAGAAAGAATTTTAAACGTCACTATCGCCAAATCAATACTTTGCTCTTATGCTTAAAACACTCACCTTTACAGCTTTATGAACTTCATGAAATTGACGTTATGGCATGCACGTTATTAGATGACTCTCTCCTAATCTTTTTCATATTTTGTTGTTTTTGACCAAAAGATTTCATATTATTTTTTTCTATTTTAAGAGGAACATTTTGGGAAAACATTTTATATCTACATTTAATCTTAGTTTATTTTAACTGTGTCTCATTTGTTAGCAGGATGATCACTATAATGCAGTCGCAATTATAATATCTTATGATCGACATGGCAACCTGCAATAATTTTTTGTCGATCATCATTTCAGGCTCATTAACAAGCGCCTGTCAATTAACTAATTAAATTCAAATTGGAAACACGCATTTTTGTTTTGTTTTAGATTTCATGCACATGTAAACAGCCTTTCGAATGTTGTCTTTGCCGGTGAAAATCTTCCATTATTTTTAATTATCAGTTAAGATTAATTAGTTTAATTACTAATTGAAATTGTGATTCACAGATGAATGTTTAACTCACGATAATCCTTTGGATTCTTTAGTGTGGTTCTGTATTACCTCTATAAATGGCATGCTTTGCCAAAAGTTCCGTCCTTGACCCTTGAACGTATTTTAACTATTAAATATGGAACATTGATTTCTCGCCCAAGAGATATCAAGAAACGACATAGCGAGGAAAAAAGCAAGAAAGGGGAGAAGGGAGGGGTTTGGGAGGGGGGGAGGGGGGGGGGGTAAAAAAAAAGGCGAGAAAGGGAGGTAAAGGGTGAGAAAGCTAGGAAAAGGGCGAGAAATTTTCCTCGCCTTATTTTTACAATCGATTTTTCGCCTTTTTCTTTACTTTCTCGCCTTCTCCCTAACCCTTTTCCTCACTTTCTCGCCCTTTTCCCGCTTTCTCGTCTTTTTCCTCGCCTTTTTTTCAGTACAGATTTTTTTGAAATCGTTCATTTTAATAAAATTATTTAAAAATTCATACACAATCTTGCTAAATTGATTTCGAAAGAATGTAAATTAAACCTAGCACATATTACTTCAAAATAATGAGTTTTGCTATTGTTTCCGGAATGTGGTATTTTGCTCAAGTATTTAATATCGGTGCCCATGTCGGTCCGTCTTTTCATTGTGTTGGTAATCGATAGAGAATGTAAGTTTAACTCGATTTAACTTTCAATAATAATTTTGAATCTCTCCGAAAATTAACTGTCGTGATATAACCCCGTGTGATAGCCCCGCTTGTATTAGGAAATTCCATAGCTCATTCAGCTTTGCCCGATTTCGAAAAAAGTGACAAATGCACTAGTTGTTTAAGTTTTGAGTAGATTTTCATCATAGAAATGTGACTGTCAAACTACCCCGACATGCCCACCTCCCATGCAATCGTTTACTTATCTACAGTCTTCAGTGGCTTAATTGCCATTACTGGTACGCCCACCCTCAGACACAATGTACCAAAATAACTGTCTAAAAGGTTGACATACAATATAATTTACGTTGTTCACTACTTTAGTTAAGGGCCTATCAAGGGTAATACTGTCATTACAGACGGGAAATCTTTCAATCGTTTATTAACAGGCATTAAATTGACTTACAAATGGGTCTCCAAATGCATAATCATGTTAAAATTAAAATGGGGTGGTCATCCCGCATGACCACTCATCTAGATGAACTGAAAGTTTTTATAATGAAGGATTTCCAACTTTGGGTCAGAGAAATTGTATTTGATCCATGGTACTTCATCCATGGTTGTATATAGCCGAATAGGATGTGATAAACCATTCTTCTGAAATAGAAAATATCTCCAACTTACATCATCTGCTAATTTAGGTGTATAAGAGATGTATTCTGTAACTGTATTAACTATACGACGGTTTGATAACTTGCAAATTCTCAGCTTTAAATGGAGGTATGTTTCAAAATTAAATATACAAATTTTGCACAGGAAATATAAATTAATCTTTTAAGGGCAAAAAAAAAAAATAACCCGATTGATTTGTACGCAGTTTGTTTTGTATTGCCATTATGTTCATATCATGTAACTTTCAGACCGATTCGATCCGAACATGAAAATTTTTAAATTTTTTCAATTGAATGCGATAAATAGAAAATTCCAGTTAAATCGGTCCGTAAATCAGTGCGTACTTCTGAAAAAAAAACTAGGATAAAGTCGAGAAGGAAGAAAGGGAAGAACAAGGCGAAAAGGCGAGGAAAAAGCGAGAAACCGAGGAAAAAGGTGAGAAAGCGGGGTAAAAGGCGAGAAAGCCTGAGTAAAAAAGGCGAGAAGTCAAAAATGTCTTTTTTCTCGTCTTTTCCTCGCCTTTTTCTCACCCTTTCGCTTCCGCCTGGGCGTGAAGTTAAGTTTTCTTGCTTTCGAGAGTAGATATGGCCGGCTTCCATAATTAAGCTATGTTTTCGGAAGCTTTAAAATCTAAAATGATACTTACGAAAACCTAAAAACACAAATAACTACAATATATTGTTAAGACTGTATAAGCCAATATTGAATATAAAATATTTTGATATCTGTATTCTATAGCTAATTTCGTATACTTACGATGCAGGGAAAATATTTCAGATAATATTATTTCGAGTCCAGGAACGCATATTCATGGGCTCTGCTTTTAAAGTTTATTGAAAGTTTTGACAGTCATGTAAACGGAAAAGCTTTTCAGACAAGTTTCTTAAAAGGGGCTGTAGAAAGATGTTTTTAAGATTTGTATCTATCAAAGTCATGTATAGCTTCTATTTGCATCTTTCAGGTTGCCCGTCGTATAGAATATTTGATGATCATTTAATCCGATTAAAAATATCCATATTTTATTGTTATTATATTATTTGTGCAATACATTACTGACAGGAAATTAAATGCTTCTTTTATGACAAAAAAGTCTATAGGGGCACATAATCAATAAATGCTAGTTATTATTCATGGAAGAATTATAATACGATTATGGGATATTGTAGTCAATCAATAATTGCGCAGCGGTATCATGTACATCACTATTTTTCAAAATTCATTATATATAATGTATATAATTCATTATAAAAATACTGTTGATCCTCTCTAAATGCACCATCCGATCCATTCATGATATTTGCGATGCTAAAAGTAAAAGAATGAATATGGTCCGCCATAAACGTCTCAGATGGTACTACTACTACTGTAATTCACTACTACAACTACTGTAGTTTACTACCACTACTACTGTAATTTACTATTACTATTACTACTGTAATTTACCACTACTACTATTGTAATTTACTACTACAACTGTAATTTACTACCACTAATAATACTACAACTATAATTTAATACTACTAGTACTACTACTATAATTTACTACTACAACTACTACTACTACTACTGTAATTTACTATTACTACTACTACTGTAATTCACTACTACTATTGTAATTCAATACTACTACTACTACTGTAATTTACCACTACTACTATTGTAATTTACTACTACAACTGTAATTTACTACCACTAATAATACTACAACTATAATTTACTACTACTAGTACTATTACTACTATAATTCACTACTACTACTACTACTACTGTAATTTACCACTACTACTATTGTAATTTACTACTACAACTGTAATTTACTACCACTAATAATACTACAACTATAATTTACTACTACTAGTACTACTACTATAATTTACTACTACAACTACTACTACTACTACTGTAATTTACTATTACTACTACTACTGTAATTCACTACTACTATTGTAATTCAATACTACTACTACTGTAATTCACTACTACAACTACTGTAATTTACTACTACAACTAATACTACTGTAATTCACTACTACAACTACTGTAATTTACTACTACTACTACTACTACTACTACTGTAATTCACTACTACAACTGCTGTAATTTACTGCTCTTACTGTTATTTCAGAGTACTTTGTGAGAAAGTAGAGTCATACGTATTCAAACTGATCCCTCGGTCGCCTCAGGTAACTTGGCAGATTCTGAGCCTGTGCCGAACACTTACACGAAGATTTTCCGCACTCAAAACTTTGAGTCATAAAAAGGTTTTTCATATGAATACCAAATTCAGTATGGATCACCATGACCTTCAATCGAAAAGATTTTTCCAAACCGCATTGGTCATAGTTGAGTAAGAAATCATAACCCTCACTTTCAGGTAATGACACAGTCCATCACTGAAAATCAATAAACAAAAATGATAAAATCGCCATGAAAATCGATATCCACATACTTGCCTTTCAATAAAAACATAAACCAAAAATCAAATCATTCCATCAAGAACTATAGTCTTTAAATTGAACACTTGATGGGACCCTTTCAGCCGTACTTTTTGTGCTTGTTTTATATTAGTAATACATCCTGTTTAGAAGGATCGATAATTTTCAGATTTGATGTTTTGAATTTCTTTTAAGTAGCAAGCACGGTTTCACGATCCAATTGAAAGAGAGAAATCATGTCAAGGAATTAAATCATAATTGATTCAAAATTGTTATCTTTAACTTTTCACATTCAGGAGTTGCAATGTAACAAGATGGTTGTTCTGTTTTTTCTTGTACTAGCACCAAACCTGGGTAAGTGAGATTTCTTTGTTTTTTAATTCAGGAGAGCTTCCTTAACTTTGAATTTATATTTTATATGTTTAAAATTTGGAATTGGGAAGTGGCATTTTTCTTCATAATGGTAAGTTTGTGATATTTCTTTATCATTTTTTTCATTATTAAAATTGATATTTTTCTTTACGCTTTTGACTTTATTGTAATTCGAAACTAACTAAGAATGGTTGCATAATTTTATCCTTTAATGACTTACTATGAACAATAACTCAACTACAAAATTTAACTCGTTTAAGATAATTTTACAATAAACAAACATGCCTTTGTCCGATTCCTGAACGAACATGGAAATATGAAAAGACAAAAATAATGACAATATGTCAAGTCATGATGAACATGAAATTATTGCTTTAGTCATAAAACATAAAGTGTAATGTGGTATGCACAAGTTGCCATGGATAAGATTGTTGCAACGCAGAGGGATTTTGGATGACATTGCCATAATATAATACATACATGAGGGTAAATCAGTATCGACACGTCGCTTATATTTGATCATGTTATAAAACAGACTTTCCCGCCATTTTGTTCCCTATCACCCCTACCCGCATGTGCATGATCTGAGTCAATATTGGTCAGAACTTATTTTTGGAACCTTATTAACTTTTCAGAATTTTTTAATAGAAAAAATGAGTATAACAACGTATCTTTTCTATTCTTTTCAGTTTTTGGTATGTGTCCTGAACCAGATCCGGTCATAAATTCTTACAGGTATAAAGATGATAATTTTCTTGAAGAAGGAAGCTGGTTGAATTATACATGTTATATGAATTATGTTCTTTATAGTGGTGATCTTGACAGACAGTGTTCTAATGGGAACTTTACAGGACAACCACCTGTATGTGTTTGTAAGTAATTATTTTATTCGGAAAACCTTTGTGTAATAAAATTGTGTCCGTCGAGTGTCATCTAACAAGAGGTATATTCTAAAGTAACAATTTCAGTTGCGTGATTTCTTGTTGAGATAGTAGTAGAAATAATGGTAGAGATTATGCACCCACCCCCTCTCGGATAGGAATAACCCAATCCCCATGAATAGGTTACATTTGCTGCGTTACAATGAGGTACATGTCTTGTCATTGCGATTTAAACACAATGAAAAGGAGCAGTGCTTTAAATAACACCCTGGACATAATCATGTTCATCAGATTGGGGTAACGCGTTTTATTAAATCAAGGACATCACTGCAAACGAACGGACGAGATAACATGATTCAATCTTTGAAAACAGAAATATAATGTAAAAGTATTAAGCGTAGCATTGTAACATGAAGGAAGGGCATTGATTTTTTATTGTATAAAAATAACATCGAATTCTGTACCCCGATGAACACGTATCCAACTGAATTAAAATAACTCTATTTCGAGTTTACAAAGTCGTTTCTTTTCTTCGTTTCAATATATTGTCTCCATTGTAATGTAATAAGTTTTCTACCATAGTTCCAAAAGAATCAAATGCTCTCCTTTTGGGTTTAGATATTCCACAATTCGTCATTATTATGGCTATGTATTGGCAATATTATTGATGTAGATAACATAAGCTCTGTACCTCAAACACCCGACCCCTTTGTGATCATAAACGCTTTAACATTAAACATTTGATTAAACTTGGTATCTACATAATTATCAAGAACAAGAAATATAAAACCAGAACTTATAAAAAGATTGTTTTAATATTTCTATATCGCTCTACAATTGGTGTATTGAGTACTACTTTAGCAAGGAGAATTTTTTGTTATTATTACCAAGAACTAGACAAGTTTGAAGTTTTAATTTTAGTATTTTGCGATAATTATAAATAGTTATAAAAAGTAAAGTATATTGCTCTATTTTTTTCTTGAATAACTTTCCTTGTAGTCTTACGGATAATTTTGATCCTGAGATTATTTTGAGAAACCCGATCAGATTAAAATATAGCTGTTTTTATTTTTTTTATCTAAATACATATTGGACAATGTTAATCATACTGAATATTGATCAATTGATCCTACTAAATATTGATTCACTCTAAAAATCGATCATATAATAAGACAACGTCATTGAACAACAATCACCGGTTAAAGTTTTAGGGGTCCATACACTTTCAATAAAACCATCAATATATGAGTCAATATAATTGAACGTGTGTGCCTTATATTGATGAAAAATATTGTCAATAACCATCATTGAGTCAAAATATCATTTTGATTTTTATTGACGATTCATTAATATAGCGATAAAGCGTCAAATATCAATAATGACCTTGTGTGGAGAAAAACTCAATATATGTCAATTTTTTTAGAATTTCAATGAACGAAAGTAATGACGGAAATATTTTAATCGTATGTGGGAATTTTCTGTCAGTAGTATTGAGTCAATGATATTGATGGTTTGGACGTCTATAGGCATTGTTTCTTGTCTGAAGACGACGGGAGAAACACATCGAAACGTTACATAAAACTGCGATTGTTTTTCCACAAAGCTGTGTCTATATATCGTTGTTACAATTACTAAATGTCATTAAAAGAGTTAAATATGAATCAGACTGAATAATTATATTCGTCACATGTCGTTGGCGGAGATGACCAAAGTCCATATATGATCGTACTCGATAGGATGAGCATCGTGGAATGCGTCACATCTATCCAAATGATATTCTTATAATGTGTCCATTCAAATTCAATTTTGAATAAAAGAAATATGAAACGAATAAATATGACCAGCTTCTGTGTGTGTATTACATGTTGTAACTTGTAACAACTTGTAAAAACAATTATTCCATTACCCGAGCCTTGGTGAAGGAAATACTTAATGCGACAACGAACTTCGTAAATTTTATGTCATATAAGCACGAGTGAAACATTCTATTTATCACACAACTATCAACAAACGTATATTGTCTTTAAATTCTTTGCACTTTCTCTATAAAGGGCCTTCATCTAGGTGTCAGCCTTTCTGCACCTTTGAAATAAATGTAACAAAAAAGACCTGGGTAAAAACGTTCATGTGATTACTTAATTTAAACTTTTAATCAAAATTATGTTATTATGAATAATTTCAGGCCCTTTACCTTCCATTTTAACTGAGTCGTCAATTTCAAAGATTGCCATGTTATCTGATTCAGGATTGTCTGATTATGTTGTTCATGGTGCATGAATAAAATACCTAATTTGCATAGTTATTAACCTAAGCTACATATATAGGTATGTGTTAGGTATTGTTGTGTGATAAAGCCGTATATTAAATCAAGGGCAGTAACTCATAAATACAACGTTAAAGTATTAAGCGTAACGTCGTTAAAGGAACGAATGGCATTGATTTTTATCGTAAAACAAAGCAACATTAAATTCCTTACCCAGTCAATTAAATCAAAGTCATGGTATATCGACCTTTGCCTGTCTTCTTTTATTTTCGTACTAATACCGAACATACTAAAAAATCCAATACTTTTTAAATCCCACACTTAATTGCGATATAGATGCTTTTTTTGTCGATACCCATCCTACCTCCATGTGCAGCCTTTGGTCCCAATCGAATTTTTGTAATGGGTGTTTTTGATGTTGTTATAAAGGAATGGGATAAAGTTTGAATTTAAGTTCTTAAAGATGATTAGAAGAGTTATTGCCCATTTCTCAAGAAAATGAACTAATCAAGTTTTGCACGAATCTTTCTTAAATATTAATTAATAAACTCAGCTGAAAGTCATGTTGACGTTTTCGAACTTTGCGACATATATTGAAATTCGGAACTTCACGTTACATAAATTAGAATTTATAGCCCTGTTCCCTGTTCCACCAAAATTTACTGTCATTTGTGAAAAATGTAACGTTAAAAAATTTGATCATGAGATAATTTTCTGAAACAAAACAAGGCCGAGTACGTATTCAGCGACAACTGAAGGCTTTTGTTAGATGTTTTCAAAACATAATCGGTATTATTGATTTGACAAGCAGACTGTTTGACATTTTGATCAAATTGATTAAATAATTATTATTATCTAATGTCATGAAAATGACTTTTAACTTTTTTTTTAAACTTTAAACAATTCTAGCATGTCATGACAAGAAAAGGGCTTTAGCATCGATCTATAATTGTTGTGTTTTGATGCTTGATCGATCTATTGATTCCACTGATGGTTTTCTTTGTAAATCAATTTGTCAATGTAGTTTGCGATGAACATTTTTTATATATTCTGTTAATGTCAGAGAGACATTGCTTCAGGTATTCTATGCATTTGCTTCACTTCAAAGGCAACCATTGTTGGTTTGATTTGGAATCCAACATATTTTGCTATATTCTGTATGCCCCGTAAACAGGGCAGAAAACAGCAACCCCTGTCCGATTTGTCTTGTTTTTCAGTCACTCTTCAGTACATTCCCGAAACCAATGTTTTGATCCAAGTATACAGAAGTACAGCAGACTTAATTTCATGTTCTGTTTTTGCTCAAAACTATACAGCAGAAAAAGAGCGGAATACTCATTGAATTATTGATAACACTAAACATTGATCAAACTGAATATTGATTTGACTGAACATTGGTGATATTGATCATACTGAATATATTAATTTGTCTGAACATTGGTGATATTGATCGAACTGAATATTGATTTGTCTGAACATTGGTGATATTGATCAAACTGAATATTGATTTGTCTGAACATTGGTGATATTGATCAAACTGAATATTGATTTGTCTGAACATTGGTGATATTGATCAAACTGAATATTGATTTGTCTGAACATTGGTGATATTGATCAAACTGAATTTTGATTTGACTGAACATTGGTGATATTGATCATACTGAATATTGATTTGTCTGAACATTGGTGATATTGATCAAACTGAATATTGATTTGTCTGAACATTGGTGATATTGATCAAACTGAATATTGATTTGTCTGAACATTAGTGATATTGATCAAACTGAATATTGATTTGACTGAACATTGGTGATATTGATCAAACTGAATTTTGATTTGACTGAACATTGGTGATATTGATCATACTGAATATTGATTTGACAGAACATTGGTGATATTGATCAAACTGAATATTGATTTGTCTGAGCATTGGTGATATTGATCAAACTGAATATTGATTTGACTGAACATTGGTGATATTGATCATACTGAATATTGATTTGTCTGAACATTGGTGATATTGATCAAACTGAATTTTGATTTGACTGAACATTTGTGATATTGATCATACTGAATATTGATTTGTCTGAACATTGGTGATATTGATCAAACAGAATTTTGATTTGACTGAACATTTGTGATATTGATCATACTGAATATTGATTGTCTGAACATTTGTGACATTGATCAAACTGAATATTGATTTGTCTGAACATTGGTGATATTTATTGATTTGTCTGAACATTGGTGATATTGATCAAACTGAATATTGATTTGTCTGAGCATTGGTGATATCGATCAAACTGAATATTGATTTGACTGAACATTGGTGATATTGATCAAACTGAATTTTGATTTGACTGAACATTGGTGTTATTGATCAAACTGAATATTGATTTGTCTGAACATTGGTGATATTGATTGTAACGATATCTGTTTAACTGTATTTACTTGTAATCTCCCTTTAATGTACCTCGCATGCGCGCCGTAAAAAGGAAGTTCTCAGTATGTCTCTCTCTAATAAATAACGTTGTTAAAACTCTCTAGTCTTTTCTGACTCACCAACTTAACATACAAGACAACAACGTTACATTGATCAAACTGAATATTGATTTGTCTGAACATTGGTGATATTGATCAAGCTGAATGTTGATTTGTCTGAACATTGGTGATATTGGTCAAACTGAAGATAGATTTGACTGAACATTGGTGATATTGATTGTAACGATATCTGTTTAACTCTATTTACTTGTTATCTCCCTTTGATGTACCTCGCATGCGCGCTGTAAAAAGGAAGTTCTCAGTATGTCTCTCTCTAATAAATAACGTTGTTAAAACTCTCTAGTCTTTTCTGACTCACCAACTTAACATACAAGACGTTACATGGTGTCAGAAGCGTGTCAAGACTAACCCAAAGACTCTGTCTACAATATGTTTTACTGATTAAAACCTTTGGTGAGCTTAAAATCGTCAACATTCTGGTGAAGGTGCGTAAATCTATGACGTCACACACATTCCTTTCTTCGCGCTGAAGTTAAAGGTCATCTCACGCCACATCGAACAATCTCAACTAAGATGGACAATCAAGTTCAACAAGCCCCTCAAGCACAAGTTCAACAACACGACTGGCAAGAAACTGT